TTCTTTTTCTAGACTTGGTGGAAAAGGCAAGTCTCCCATTTTACACTCATCACGGTACTCTGATGCTGAGGAGGATCATGTTGTACTCTGACTTACGCATGTTTGCTTGGCAGGATGAATGTCTGGAAATAATAAGCCTTTAACTAGGGGTTCAGCTTCCTGAGTCCCATGATGAGTCTGGGAACTTTCATCCTTCCCACTAAACAGGACCCCCCCATTGTGACAGACGTTTTCATTATTATTATTTTCTGTTACATGGCATGGCAAGCACTTCTGCCGCTGGTGTTAAATGTTGTAGCTCATGCATCTTTCAGAAAAAATTATAGGATCAGTCATCGTGGGACTGGCCTTATAGATAGTAAGATGGTAGCTTGAAAATTCATATTCCCCAAGAGGCCCATTCCTTAACAGTGGGCTTAATAACAAATGAGGTCTGAAAATGGTATTCAGACAGTGTACTGTCTTCTATATCAGCTCTTAAAAAAATCACATGGTTTTTTAAAGTAATTGTAAAGTGACTGTCTTCCACCTCCTCCACAATATTACTCTAATATCTCTTGGGAAATACAGTATCAGCATTGCACTGCTGCTTCCCCTCAGAGCCAGTGATGCAGGTGGCCTGGTTTGCCACCTCTGAGGCCAACAGTAAAATATCTTGCATGTCTGTGGGGGCAGGATCTTTAGAAGGTTGATACAGGAAAGCAAAACTGAAAATTTGTCCCTAAAGCTTTGGTTTGGCAGTGAGACTTCCCAGCCCTTATTGCTTTCCTTAGATTGTAGCTCTGACTCCACCTCAGGTCTCTGCTAATTTTCCTCTGTCTGTTTAAAGAGGATGCACTGATACAGATTATTACTGCATTACGCTCCAAATGAGAGGCAAATCACTGACCTCTATGCATGAGAACGAATCCCTTAGGTGATACAGCTGTTTTGTAGCCGTGGCTATCTTGGAGCACTCTGATGGCATATGCATTGCCCTGAGAGAGACAGGGCACTACTGAGTGAAAGGCAGCTCCTCCTCTTCTGAGTGCTGCAGATCTCAGCAGGCACAAATTAGGATGTCTTGGACACTCCCTGTTTACACCAGGTGCATGTGAAGAGAATACATTAAGGGCTATTTCTTGAGCAGGATGCAATGGGCTGCCTCATCCTAACAGACAGGAGGAGACCAGCAGCATATTTAGCTTGCAACAGTTCGGATTTCCTCACATGCCGTCCTTGCTTGTTATTGAACTCACCTTCTCTCCTGGGTTTGGTCTAACTGATAGCTAAGCTAGCATAAACCAAAGTGATCACATCTGACAGCACCTTAGTAATAAGAAGCACAAAGGCAAAAGCAACTGAATCTGCTCAACTTTGAATTTGACCAAGTCAGGACTTTTCTGGACTCTGCCAGGCATCATTACATGCCTCATTTCTCTTACTTATGACCAGGACAGGTAAGATGTGGTGCATATGGAGGGCAGACCTCTGGGACTCATCTGTCCCTCCAGTTTGATGGTTCCTGGGAGCTGTGGTCAGGCAGCAGGCAATGAAGCAGGTTCTAGTTTGTGCTATATGACAGTTGCACCAAGCAAAACCCAGGCACAGGCTAGTAAATCATACTTCAAGGTGACCAAACCATAACTTTTGGATCCCCCAAGGATCTGTGTCACTATTGGTTTTAATGAATGATCTAAAAGGGGATCGTAGGCTGCAAATTTGACGGTGGCATAAAATGATTAAAAGCAATAAAAGCTGGAGGAGAAATGGCAAAATCAAGAGGGACCTAATAAAGCTGGATAACTGGGCAATGCAGCAGCAAATGAAATGCAGCGTTGCAAGAAAATTTAGACCAGAAAGAATGATGTTAACCTTTTTTATGCATTCTTGAGTTCTGCATTTTGCTCTGAAGAGATCTGGGCTCTTGACAGACAGCTTAAAGAGAGCTGCTACTGAGAGCCTCGATGTGACGACCAATGCAGTATAAGAGACGGCAAGTCATGCAATCTACCTAGACAAGACAGAGATGGGTGGTAGGAAGGGAAAAGGAAAACATCAGAGACTGTAGCGTTTGCCCATGGTCACTCATAAAACCAAACGTAGAGCACAGGGCTTGAAAATGTCATGCCTAGGGCCAGACTCTGAACCGCATGAATAAATCCCCAGAAGCCAGGCCATTAACTGAGAGGGAAGCACCTCCAGAGGGCCACAGCATCATACAGATGGCTAAGACGGGGGGAATGAATCACTCTTTGTCTAGCTCTGTTAGATGGAGAGACAGTTTAGATGGGTTGCTTGGCCCATATGCTCAATTTTTAAGTGGCTGGAATTAGTAAAATGACTTGCACCCTCTGTTATTTTTCCCTCTGAACCATTTATTTTCAGCCACAGCTGAGACTAGGGGATTGTTCCTGGATGGTAAGTCCTTTTGTTTTCTCCTGAGAACTGGCAGCTGTGGAAAAAAAATGTCATCAGAGGAACCAAATGAAATGAATAGTGATAAAAGCTCTGTGCGTTCAGACTGGCCTTGGAGCACAGGGGGACTGGGGACACTGGTGAAGGCATATGGGATCTTGTCCTGGCCCTCTGACATTTCTGCCCTTACACCAGGGCAATGGGTAGAGTGTGGGTCCCACGCAGGACTGGGGCTGTCACTTGGAGGTGTCTGCTGGTGTGGTGAAGCCCAGTCTCTCCACCATGGCAGGCTGAGCTCCCTGGCTGTAAACTGCTAGCAGGTTTTATTTAGTGCTGCAAATGTTCATGCACACTGCTAGGCCTGGCCTTGAGGAGCCCAAGGGCAGGAGGCTGAGGACCTGTGTGATCAGCACACTTGCTTTGCTGCCAGCCTCTGGCACCACACATTTCCTTTGGGCTTAGCGTCTTCTCCCCGCTTCTGCTTTGGGCCAGGCCTGCTGAGCTCTGATGTGTCTGTAAATGGATCCTTTTTATATCTCATCTGTAAAAACTGTGTGTTCTTCAGTTTTGTTTGTAGGAGGGTGGTAGATACAAGTGTTGGTTGTTTGCATAGAGATTTCACACACAGCAAAAACGCTGTCACCTGTTCTATAAAACGGAAAAAATAGAAGCCAGGCTGCCAAGTGCCTACTAAACACCAGCTGGTAAGTGTCACAGCATCAAGCTGTCCGACTATTGACTGGGCTCACAAGCTGGGGCAAACCTGAGGATAATCAGATAGCCTAACGGTGACATGCAGCTTAGGAAGGTGGGTTCAGAGCCCGCTCTCCCTGCAGGCTTCCCTGAGGTGTGAGGGCAAGCACCTAACACAGTGCCGTTGGTCCTTCCCTTCTGGGTGATACACAACCCTGGAAGCTGGTCCTAGCTGCTACATAGCTGCTGGGGGCTTCTGTCGAGTAAAACCAGACCCTAGAGCAGCTTGTCCTGGGAAAACCCTCAGTAAATGCAGTAGGTATCTTCAAATTGAAGGCAATACGATGCTGGACTGCGTTTCTATCCCCCTTCCTCCCGCTCTGCCTGGTATCAGGACATGAAGAACTTTTTGTTACTGTAGACTGTGACTTAAAGGGAGAGACAGTAACAGTCTGAAAATACCAAACCGTAGCTCTGCAGAGGGACAAAGTCATCTATGTGCATTGCAGGCTTGTATGGCAGCAAGGGATACTTGCCTTACACTTCCCAGGGAAGGCTTTCAACGCTGAATATATTGATGCAGTGGAAGATTGCCTAGAAAGGTTACTGAGCCTTAACAGTTGGGGGTTTTAAGAATAAACAGGCATCTGCTTAGAATATATAAAACTGATGATTAATTCAGACAGGGAAGTGGTGGAATAGATGTCCTCTCTATCTTCATTCCTGCCCTATGGTCTGTGATTCCTGTTGCATCAGGAGGTGAGGAAGCTCTCAGAAGTCTCGACACCAGTTTTGTGTGCTGTACACCACTTCCTTGATCATGGTGGTTGCAGTTCTTTGTCTAGTGTCATAAAATCAATACAATATGTGAGTGTAAGTGCTATGGGATGAGTAAAAGAATCATTACCACATAATTTTCAGTGCTCTTTCTGCAATGGTGTGCGGCAGGTTCAAGTGATAAGCAGAACCCACGGCGTATTATGTTTGTGAAGGCACAGATTCTCATCGCGTCAGATGAGCAAATGTTTGAGAAGTCACTAGAACTTTTTTTTTCTTGCTGGCTGCCTAGCTCTCCGGGGGTGCATGATTTTGTACGAGTCTGTGGAAACAAGGCTCCTGTCTTAAATTGGTACAGCCTAAGATTAGGCACAGTAGAGACAGCAGTATTTTGTGCACATCTGCAACAGAAACAGCACAGTATGCACACGGTAAAAGGGTGGTAACTGGGTGGTTATGTCTGCACATCTATTTTCTGGGCAATTTGAGATGGAGAGAGTCCTTAACTAGAAAGAAACCTGCAAATTTCATTGCAGACTGTTCTGCTTTCAGAAGAAAAAGCCACCTTCCATGAAACTTGTGTAGTGTAATTTCCCTGGCCCTTCCCATTTACACATGCAAACAAGATAACATCCAGGCTCAAAGTTTGATTGCAGAGTAAGAATGACCATAAATTGATATTGCATGTTACAGTCTGTCATGTCTCTGAAGGCATGAGATTCTGTCAGGGCTGTGTAACTGGTTTCCAAGCTTCTCAATGCCCAGCCATAACGTTTAAAAAAAATCAGCCAAGATTTTCTTTTGACTTCAGCATGGTTGGAATAGAAAAGTAACTAGTCCGGTGTGCTGCGCTTGGGCTGATTCACTGCTAAGGACAATGTCCAAGTGAACATCGATAAAAGAAGCAGGCAATCTGCTTGAACCTGCAAACTGAAGGCTTGTCTCCTTGACACGATGCTGATGAACCATTTTTTCCTGATGCTCAAGGCACATAAAGCCACAGATAAGCACTGTGTAAAATGCAAGTTATCTGCACAGATAACTTCTGTGTGCAAAGTAGTCAATAAATTGCAGTCAGACTTTCCCTTCTGTTTAACTTTTATTAAAAGAGGTGCTAAGGTACTGTACTGTATGCAGTACATCATATTTATTACCAAAATTAACAAATATACAAAACTTATACATGTAATTTTCTTACATCCATTTATTGGTCTATAATACTGCATTTGTTCAAGTAGGTTATCTACAGTATGTAAACATCCCTTGGATTGACCTCACACAGATTAGGAAAGCCCATCTAACCCATGTAGTTACCAAATATAGCTTTTTCTTTTTTTAAAATTTATTTGGCTTTCATTGGTAGAATCTAATCTTCACATTTGGCACATGGAAGAGACATCTACAGTGCAAAAGAGGCAGATTTTCTGGTTTTGTTCTGAGCAGTTTAGCAGAGTCATGGTTTTAAAGAGCCAAGAATAAATTTACACAAACTTGATAGATGGATTAGTGTTAACGCTCATAGATCAGCCATTAAACTAGAGCAGAAATCCAAAGCCTCTTCCCCAGCCCGCTCGGCCAGGTGGAAAAAAAACCTCAGCCTTGTTTCTAAAGGATTAAAAAAGGACTCTGTTAGCAACAGAGAGAGGAGGTTTAGTTTACAAAGAGCCCTCTGAGATTCCAGTTTCAATTTTCTGCTTTGTGGGAGGTTTTTTTTCCCTCTTGTTAGCAAGCAATTTTTTTTTCTTTCTAATGGGGGAAAAATAACCAGTGGGGAACCACTTTTCTATGCTGGCAATTTCTCAGTGAGTCGGAGATTATGGTTGGAGTTTACAGATCTTTGAACCCAGACGTATAGAGCTCAGTAAGCTGCCGTGTACCAGGAAGAGAGAGAAAGAGGGAGGGAGAGAGAAAGAGAGTAATGTCATTATATTCCAGTTGTGGAGCTTTCCAATTTTGCTGTAAAAAACAGGAAAATACTTTCTTCCTTCTGCTTCTCACTGTTTCAAAAACGTGACTTAATTTAACTGAGTAAAGCTGATCCAGAGAGACCTTCATTCGCACCCTTCTTCCCATTCTCATCCAAGCACCGTATTGCTATTTTTTTAGGAGGCCTCACCCATGTCCATGGAAGCATCTGATGAGAATGGACCTAACCGGACACTGTTTCGCATTGAAACCCCTCTGCCATTCCTCGTCCGTTACCACAGAGCCCCGCTGCTGTCCGTGGCACCGTACATCTCGGCCAGCTTTTTGAAGCGCGGCCCCCAGTCCGTCAGGTAGTCGTAGCTCTGGTCTGAGTCTGTCGTCACCGACTGTAGGGAGCTGAGCGACTCCGCCACCGAGCCGTTCCCTTCAAACATGTACGTCTGGAGGGAGTCGAAGGGAGGCGCCCACAGGTCCATGTCAGCTTCGTACAGCTTGGCGAGCACGTAGTTGTGGACGTTGTTGTCCATGACGCACGCCTGAGGCACGTATCGGGAGAGACTCTCTATTTCAGGGAGCATGTCCTGCCGGTTTTTCACCACCAGCTGGGCCTCCCGCGGGTTCCACATGGCGGCGATATCGAAGGCCTCCGTGTCCTCCTCCCCACCGCCCTCGTCGTCGTACCTGACGATGTTCTCGTGGATGTTCTCCTCCTCGTCGATGATGTACGGCTGCTTCCGCTGGCGCCGCATGGAGAGGATGAGGAGCACCAGCACTGCGGGAGGCAACCGAGACAGGGCCATCAGTGAGGGGGCAGATCTTGCAAGGGCTTCAGTCTCTCTGCTGCCCTGTTTTCCCCTCAGTGAGCCCAGCCAGTCCTTTGGATTTAAAAAGCTGTGGTGCTTGTGGGTGGACGGGTGCAGAAATCCCCTCCCCTAGTCAAAATTAGTAGCTTGATGTCCTGCTAATCTGTCCCTTTTCTCACCGTAATTCTTAACTCTCTGGTGACACTTAGGACATGTCTATCCAGCGGTGCTTGCCAATGCACTGTAGCAACACTTGAGCTACTTTTAAGCTAGCCAGATCTGGTATCAGTAACGGTTTATCTGCAGTGGCACACAGCTCCATAGAGATAATTTTCTCCTGCTGTGTAGCTTTTGCAGCCTGCTTTGGGGATGCCTCTTGGGCTGGGCGCTGCACATGACATAGATGGCTGGTGCCGAGGCACCATGGTGATACGTCTGCCTGCACGGCAAAATGCAGAGCTAGCCCCTTGGTCTGCTCCAAAGCATTTTTGTGTTTCTCTGCAAGGCACTGCCTTGGGCTGGGTAGAACTACTGTCAGTTGCTCTGCGCTAATGAGGTGCAGATTGCTGCTTAGCATGGGGAAAAGTGGTCATACAGGCACCAGAGGCCTTTACTATTGAAAATGTACCATCACCTGGTGATGGTATTTCCAGGGCTAGAACTCAGCAAAGGTTTTGGATGCTGAAATTTTGGACTGAGGTATCTAGGCTCCTTTGCAGGGCCAGAATTGAGGAACTTTTAAAGAATTTTTCCTATATTCTACTCCACTGCTCCTCAAACTGGTTACTTTGAAATTTCAGGGAATGTGTGTTTTGAACTAATATCTCATGACTCAAGAGAGTGAATGAGGGAACTGAAGTTCTTTTGATACCAATAGCTAACAGGGGACATAGAAGGCCTGGGCAAGGAAAGGATGAAAATTATTTGTGGAGACAGAACACATGCAAGATGCTCAGCCCCTTTATAGCAGCACAGGCACCATTTAAATGCAGTGTCTCAAGGAAAAATAATGGAGGTGGGGATACCTCCTGCCAAAAGACAAGAGTGGAACTGGGCTTACCGCTCTTGTTTCCTGTGAGAGCATATGATCAGAAACTGCTGAGGATGAGAAAGTAACTTGTCCCCAGCCACAGCTCTCAGTATTTCCTCCTGGCATACCCCTTCCAGGAAAGCAGGGCCATACCAGACACCCTAGCACTTTGGGGATCTGGCAGAAGTATTTGCAGGCCATATTTTTCCCCCATTCCTACACCCCAGGGTCTGAAGCCATATGCAGCTGACTACACCATCTGGTCATTGCTTTGGCCCTTTAAGTATGTGTGTGTCTACATATAATATATACATATACATAGACGTGTGTGGGTGTGTTTGTGTCCTTCACCTTCGGTAGATCAGCAACCTCGGGCCAGAACTGAAGAGTTTGTCCCCTCCCAAGAAGAAGCCAAGTGTTTACCTAGCAGGACAAAGATGCAGGCGAGGATCGCAATGAGTGCCCCTCTGCTCAGGCTGACGGGGAGGACGTAGGCCTCCGCGTTGCAGGACATCACCATGCCGTCATCATCGCAGCTGCACACGTGCACGGTCAGCGTACCCGTGCTGCTCAGCACGGGGCGGCCGTTGTCGCTAATCAGGATGGGGAGGTAAAAGATGTTCTGCTCATGTTGTCTGAAGCCAGAGCGCCTTGTCAAAATCCACGCTGTATTGTCTAGGTGTAGAAAATATATGGAGAGAAGAGCTTATATGCAGAGCAAATATATTCAGCAGAGAAGGAAGGTTAAAAAAAATCAGCCCTAGACCCACATCCATTTGTCTTCTCTCTTTTTTTCTTTGGTTTCTATCAGTTTGTCATTAATCAGCATTTTGCCTCTGCCTCCCCTATTCCTGTATCTTCTCAGGCCATAGCTCCAAACCTGCAAGGCATACACACCTTATGAGTTGCCTTTACCCCTTATGACACAAAGTGCCCCGAGCAAACTCACAGCCTTCAGATTTAGCTAAAAGAGCTTTCAGAAGGCAAGACAGAAACAAACAGTTGAAGGCAACTTGTAGTCCCCATTTGTTCATGCTCAGCAGCTTTTCTAGACCTTGCTCTTAAGCGCTGACACCATTTTGGAGATGCTAGTGTATAACCTTTGTGGACGTGTTAAGATTCTTTTTTTTTTTTTTTTTTTGATACATGGTATGGCCATCTGCTTCAGGCAACAAAGAGACAAAGGAAAAAAACAGCTTGCTATCCTAGAGCAGCAGCAAGTTGAAAATTTGCAACTAAATATTTTTCAGTGAAATACATGCAATTTCGTTGGCACTTTTGCCATTGGAAGAAGTGGGAATGCTTCATGTCATCATTGTCAGAATTATTCTGCTTTGATTTGGCCATTCTGCTTCATTTAGTCTGTGTTTTATAAGAACTTGAATCAAAATGAATCAAAATGATGCTGCTGAAACAAAATAGTAAAAGAGTGACCTAACAGCCAGTTGCTGTTGGTAATTTCAAGGGAAATTCCTACCTTTGGGGCTTTTTCCTCCACATTCAGCATGTTTTTTAAAATGTCGGAATTCCCAGTGGCATTTGAATTCCTGTCTACCCCCTCCCTCAAATTCCTCAGACTGTGCACCAAGTTTCCTAATGAGAAAGAAATTGGATTCAGGAATTCGTTCTTCTCAATTCTCATCTCAGGAATGACAAGGCAAAATCTTTGGAGATCAGTGATGATTTTGTCAGTGCTGACTTTCAAGCTTTTTGGCCTTGGAGACTTCTAGAAAGTGCAAGACTGAACGTCTCCAGCGTGATCTGGGCCACCAGGCAGTCTAAAGGGACCTGCAGGAAAATTGGCCCTGCAGAAAAATTGGCCCTTCTCACAAACATGTCTGCAAATCTTGGGCCAGCTAAGATAAATGGGGAACACAGGTACTTTTTGTCTTTGGCAGACCTACAAGCCCTGACCCCATGCAGTGATGCTGTGGGATTTTGGGGAGCTGAGCTTCATGCAGTTTCTTTTACTACTTAGTTTTGTTTCCTGTTCCCTTGGTTCAAAAGAGGTCACATCTGCATCTCCAGGTTGTTACCAATGTACATTTGCTGTGCTTGGAAAGGCAGGATGCCAATCAGCTGTTCCCAGGTGGATTGGCACAATGGAGCTGCTGCCTGGAAACGGCAAGAAACTCTCTGATCACAAATAGACTGTGAAAAAAACCAAAATATCACAAGGGATTGTTCCATTTCCTTATTAGTTCCCTGTCAATTCACTGCTAAAATTTAAATCTTGGGTGATTTTCTTCAGTGCAGAGACTCAGGTTGCATGCAGGTAAATCAGCTGTATTATCTGCTGTAGTCTGAACATCAGAAATGATTTGATGGCTTTTAGGAGTGAAATCAGGAGTGTTATATACAGCCAGCTATGGAGTATATCCAAACTCAAGCTAGACTTGCTAGACTTGCCTGCTAGATTTAAATTATACTCCAAGTTCCATACTTTGTGCTGCAAATCTTGTGGCATCAGACAGTACTGTCACACATAAGTATTGAGACATCAGGCTCCACAGTTCATTAGATTAGTTTGGATTTGTGACATGTTTTTAAAAGGAATCTCAGTTTTTTTAATTTCTTGCACGTCAATGACATTTCAAACTTTTACTCTCAAAGCGTAAAATTCTGAAGTGTGCATGCATGTCTGTATGTGAATATATAGTGAAATGGTAGTGTCTTGTTAAATCATGTGATCCTAAGAGCTGGAGCTTTGAGGAAAAACCACCAGGTGCAACATGAAATCCCCAAAGTTGCTTAAAACTGATTATGTGTCAGTGTCTACTGATTTCACCACCCTTTGATATGCCATGCAGCTCTGAATATGTGCAGCGGGTGTGGACAGACATGACGATTTTCAGGAATGTGTCCCAAAACCCAGCAGAGAGCAGCACCCTGCAGCTAGTACGGCTCCTGGGCAAGGGGTGTGCGGCGGATGGGAGCCCCTGCCTCCTGCACACCTCCCCTTCCTCTCTCCTGGGGCACATGCAAGTGCTCTCTCTCCCTCGGGCTGTTTATGTGCCCTCTAGTATGTGCTCCCAGCTATTAATACCACATCTTTTCAACACTGAGCCTGTTTTAGCATGAGAAAAAGCAGCCCAAAGGGCAGAAAATGGCAAAGTGCCTGGATTTATACTGTGTTAGTGGAAATGTGAGTCATCTTAACAGTGTAGTAATTTGGTTGCATTTCTCTTTCCTGGGTGAAAGACACACTCTCTTTAAACTGACTTATAATATAAGTAAGTCACAAATTCTACTCATGTGACAGCAAACCTTCATTTTATGTAAAATTGCTCTTTGTGAGGGAAGACGACTTCATTATTCTGAGCTGGTCATACTTTGCCTGTAAAAGAAGTCACAGGCAGTGAACCTGACTGAAGCTCTGCAAAATCTGCTAGTGAAAGATCTCAAGTGCTTTTAACCATAATTCCTTTTTCAGGCCAAAACCAAGTTTCTATAAGCAAATATTGAAATATATATATATGGTTTTTGTTTTTTTTTTTTGCTGTGATGTGCTGACCATATCATCCAGGTCTTAAATGTTCTTTGTGATAAAATACTGTGGGTGACTCTTGGAATTACATTTTGGCTCTTTAGTTTTGTTTTGCTTTGTACTAGGCAGGCATCCAAATCATCCCTAAAGAATCGCTCTACCTGTTACTCTGCAACTGCAATACGTTGGTGCCAAAGCTTGTTGTGTGACTCATTAAAAGCCAATGCGATTTGACGTGCTACTGCAGTGCGAAGGACATGCTGGAATGTGATGCAGCATGGCAGAAACCAGAATGCACAATTTTCTTCCAAATTTGATATCTGCTAAGCTCCAGCCATCAAGAGAAGAGGGCTTGTGAGGACATGAAAGCCCTGTCATATTAAAAAAAAAAAAAGCAAGCATGATAGGAATGCACAATATTTTTGCATCACAGCTTCCAACACAGCGTCTTTGGCTCACAGAGGGCTGGATGGTGGCACGTAGCTACAGCGCTGAGCAGAGATGCTGAAGATTGCAGCATGGCGGGTCCCGCGCCTGTGTGATCAGTAGGAGGTGAAAGCTGTACTTCCCGTGGGCATGCAGGGTGGTGTCTTCATGTGGTTGCGAGAACAAGCCATGGAGCATCTCCTTCCTGCAGTTTTCTGCCCCACTGGAAGTGATGTACCTCCCTGGAGAGGTCAGGGGAATTAACCGCTGTGTAGGTCCAAACCCTGAGATCAGAGCTAACCACCGCTTTTCTCACAAGAAAGGCTTGGTTTCTTTCTGCATGCATCTGTACAAGAACTGGGGATGATTAGCCCAGAACATCTGTTAGTTTTTAAAAACTAATTGTACTAATTATGAATAGTTAGGAACAACATAAAGAAATATTTCACCAGGAGTGGGAGAAAGAGCACAAGGAAGCAGGCATTACAGACACCATCGGCTTGAGGAAGCGGTCACATTTTTTCTTGGGGATTTTCAGCTCACTGCTTTTGTGCTCTGTCAAAGCGTGAGGTAGGCCACAGTTTTACGGAAAGAAGAAATAGCCAAAAATTTTCCTAGGACAAATTTAAACGCAATGGGGAGGACTACTGCCAAGGCTTCCAATGACAGGCCCGGCGGTGGTATGACATTGATGCCTGCACCCATTAAAATGGCTACTCTCTTCATCAGTTCCTGGTACTCAAAGATGGAGGGCAGCAGTTAAGGGTCCACAGAAGATCAGCTCAGAGGTTAATTTGGAAATACAGTAAGCTTATTTTGTTGTTCATCCCATTCTTACAGCAAGCCTCTTTTGCCAACTTTTTCCCAGCATAATCTCACCTGGATTTAGAAGCGGGGGAAGATGTATTGCCAATGCCCTACATCAGTAACTGAAGAGATGGGAGACCCCAGCTCAACTCCCTGCTTCATAACATATATCCTATACAGCCTTGGGAAGTCATTTAGGCCCAGATCTTTGCAGATACTTACATGTTTATCTCCCACTGATTTTACTGCACTCAAAGGAAACCAGGAGTGTAAGTAGCTCAATTTCTCCTTGACCTGGATCCCCATCTATAAAGTGGAGAACAATAGGATTTCTCTGTCTGCCAGAGACATATAGAGAATGAATAGACTGAAGAAGTTCTCGGAGACTAAAATGACAAGGGCCAAAGAAATATGTAAAACAGCTCATCAGAATGCAAACTGTGATGTATCTGTTGCTTGGTATAAATCAAGGTTTTAACTGTTGCCAGGAAGGCTGCATGTCTTGCAGTTTCTCTTACTGCTATATTGGACAAGCGAGTAATCTGCACAATTGCTAATCTTAATAACGCCTTCCCACAGCCTGGGAAGCGTTGCTGTCTCGTGTTTAGGTGCACAGGTTGTGACTAGCAACCTAGTGTTGTGTGTTCTGTTTCTTGTCTTGCCACCCTGTGACACAGAGTATAGCTACCCCCTCTGTGACCAAGTCATATAATTTATATAGTCCTTAGTGGTCCCTAGATGAAAATATAAATATAAATTATTGTTACTGAAATGACTACTGCACTCCAAATTGCTGAGGCAGTAAATTAATTCTTAATGTGTATATTTCAAATAGTCAGTGGTTTGATACTTAACATTTTTATTTCAAATTTGTAACCAATAGTACCCAAAGCTTCTTGTGATATATATCTCTGGAAAATTGGTATTTTACAGAGAATGGGAGGCACAGCTACTCAGTCACTGCTGTCACTATAAATTATAGCAAGTATGGCCTTAGACAGAAAAAGTGCATCTGATGCTGGGAATTTTGTGAGTTTCTTTTTTTAGAACAATGCCTTGAGGATGAAATGAACCTAGTTTGCTAGATGTTTTAGCAATAGTTGTGTTTTATTTGTTCACTTATTTTGGCAGTATATATTCAAAAATAAAAAAGGGGGAGACAATGGGAGAGAGAAGGGGGTAAAAATTCAAGAAATTATGTGCGGAGGCTTCAGGGACACTATAGAAAAAAATTGCTTTTGGGATGAAAAAGCATTAGCATGCTGTGGAGGAGGGCTCCAGACTCTGCAAGTAGCATGTTTTAAGACATGTTTGGTTAGTGAAGGCAGGGGTTTCTTTATTAGCCTCTACGTTGCTCTTTCATATGCCTGCAGAGGCACAGATAGGGGCTTATGGAAGTAAGTGTGGCAAGTAGGCATGTGTGGGAGCAGGGGCAGGCACTCTGCTTGGAGACTGGCCATGGACGCTGCAGGTGGCCAGTCTTTCTCCCCATTTATTTTGGAATTGCTTGCTGATTTGTGGTGCTTTGCACACTGAACTCCTACTGAAATCCAGCCCCTTCCCACTGACTTTCAAAGCTCTGCACTGGGTCACTCAAGGTCGTCCCTCTTTCCCGGTGAAGGCTGGTGTGGACCTGACCTCAGCACCGTTGTCTGGCCACGGAGATCCTCTATCAGCAGCAGTAATGCGAAGGCCTGCCACGGCAGGTCTTTCCTGCAGGCTCCAAAACCACCAAAGCTTCCTCAAAAGAGGCAAATTCCACTGGTTAGGATACTCAAATGCCAGCGCTTTGCCATGAGTCTTCCCACTGGTGTTTCAGTTTCTACTTAGCGTCTTACACAGACTTTTAACTGTATGCCAAGTTACCCCCCACAAGGCTCTGTATCTCCTCCCTGTCTCCCTCCCTTTCCTAGGGAAATGAGGATGTGCAAAGAGGAAGAAAAAAAGCGCTTGGGGGAAAAGACTGGAACAGTACAAGAACCTTCCCTTTCTGTGCCTGGGAGAAAACATGAAGAGTACAAAAAAAGAGCAATGTAATTCCCTTCAGATTTGTCTCCTAGTTCCAGTTGCTATCCTACCTTTAAGCATCTCCTTTTGAATGAATGCAGTTTCCACTCCGGTAATCCTGCCTGCAGCCTGACCACAGGACCTGAATTTGCACAAAACACTGGCACATTTCCTTGAAGAAGAAAAAGGGGCCTATTGCTAGAGAATATTTATAGAGAAGAAAATATCATATAACCTTCAAGTGTATTAAGTAATATGTCATTTTATCACTGCCTTTAAGGAGCAGGTGTCACTTGGTATTATTTGAAATGGCAGTCTTGTCACACACTGTAAGTCACAGCCTCTCAAATCCAACTCAGGCATTAGAAATTAGAGTAGCTAACTGTCTGTGTCCACTCTGATTACCTTGATTGTCCCTTAGAGTAAAGTTGGGGTTGTTGGCTGCCTCCGGAGCCAGGCTGTAGTAGAAGTGCTGACCCTCCTGTGGGTCATCCCTGTCAATAGCGCTCACTGTCTGGATCAGCTACAGAATACGAGAACAAAACAGAAACGGGTGAGAAGCAAAATATATATAATACAAATAAACAAACAGATAACATATATATTTTACATATATAAATGTAAGCAACTGGAGCATTTGAATAAAACTGTCTTGCAGAGGTACGATAGATAAATCAAGAAGAGACTCAAAACCTTGCAGGCTTCATTTATTTTGCTATGATCATGCAAATCACTTTTAAACAAAGGAGGAGATAGTCAGTTTGCTTCAAATAACAGACACTTTTCTCTCATGCATCCCTATCTTCTGTTGCATGTTTCTTTTTTCTTTTGAGGGCTCAGGATGTTCAGAAGATTCATTGTGCATTAGAGAGCTTGTAAAGAAAGCCCATACTTATTTTCAGCTTCATTTTGCAGGTGGGAAAGGTTGATTATTTTATCACTCTTTTAATTTTAAATCAATTAATTTCTTCCCAAGATGTCAGTGGAAAAGAAAGAGAGAAAAGGCAACCATGCAGACACTCCGCATATGCAATAAATAACACCATGGAAAGAAACTAAGACAATGCTAAATCCAGAGATTTGTCACCTCACCTATAGAGGCTTAGTAAAGTAGGTCTAACAGCTTGAAGCACAGTGAGCTATAGCTCCGTCTGAATAAACATTCTGACATCTTTTTAGACAAGGAATAAACCACCTGGATTTTTGCATTCAAAAGTTATTTTTGGATTCAAAGGCAAATGACAGACCCATAAAATCTTATTCACCACTTTATTCTGATTTCAGAATTTTTCAAAATGTGGCAACAGAAATTGGCTTTCTCCACTGAAGGAAGTAGTCCAAATTAGCGTGCATTTCTCGGAAAGCTTATTATTTAGGACACTCACCCTTCAAAACCAGGCAAAAGGCTAGGCAATGATTTCTATTCCCTATATTATTAAGGACCTCTGTAAATTAGTGAGATGAAATTATCCTGTATATGATAGTTGTGAGGACAGTTATCCCAGCAATGAGTAGCTATTTCATTCTGCTTCACAGCAAGCTGGGAGAAGCTTCAGCAAACACACAGTGATATTATTAGCATAATTTTTCCTTCACAAATGATGAGTGGTGCATCTATGTGTTTAAACTATGCTAGTCAGCTTTGCAATAGGAGACACAAGTCCCCACTGTGGACCCAGGGTGGTGAAGCACCAGGTCGCCTCCCCACAAGCGATCAGCAGTAGAGCTTGCACCAGCTCCATCTGTGACACAGGCAGACCTTGTTTAAGGGCTTTGATGGGGTTTTGGAAGGGAGAGGAGCAAAGAGGCTTCGCTGCTTGCTTGGAGATGCTGGTTTACAGTGTGCGGGACGGGAAGTTCCTGTGTTGTCTATGACTCTCTGTCATCTCCAGTTCACAGCAGAACAGATTCAGTTTGGCACCCCTTTGAAGCTGATGTAGTACATTATGTCCAGGTCCCGTAAGTCCAGGGGTGCTTAAGGCTCTTATAAATGGGGTCTTTTAACAGTAAGACTTGTTTGTCACACGTGGGCTGGGCTGACTCCATGGCACTTCTCGTAACACTTCTCCTCTCTTTGTTGCTGCTACAGGACACACCAGGTGTTTGCCTGCTGGCACCTGCCCAAGGGAAGGCTTTATTTCATCCATGAAGTGTATTGCGCAGTGAGCCTGGAAACTACTGCGGGAGAAAAAGAGGTGCTATATGCAATGCTAATCCCGGTGCGATGTGCTTGCCTTTAGAAAGCAGCACAGACAGCTGCTGACCAGAGTTCAGATAAAACGTGTGGTTAGCTGAGCCCTCTTTCCAATGCTTACCCTTTCCGGCACGCTGTCTCCGAGTAGGACAGCATCCCCTCCCCAATCCCTGGCGTTATTAGCATTTCTCACCTGCCCCGCTTTGGCGTTTTCACAAACAAAAGCTTCATAAAATCTTGCAAACTCCGGCGCGTTGTCATTCACATCCAGGACTTTCACCGTCACGGAGACGCTGCCCACCTGCGAGGGGTTGTCTGGAAGGAGGAGGCACAACGTAAAGAAAGGCAATACGTGGGAAGGGAAAGGGGCTGCTCCTCACTCTGCTCAAGAGGTAAAGCAGCTGTTTTACTACTGACTCGCATTAAATGACATTTTCCCATCAGGAACTGCCGTCGCTTGCGAGTTGTGTGACTTGGAGTGAAGTTGGAAATACTGCTCTCTGTCTATCCTGGCTTCCCATCTAATCACATTTTTTTCAAACAAATTCTGCATAAACACTTCAACCTGGTTCAGTCCAATGGAACTGTTTCTATAACAAAAATTTTAGACAATGCCCCATATTTGTTTTTATTGCCCTTTGACTGGGCAATACTGTTTGTTGAGCCTCGGTACTGGTGGCACGAATTAGGAAGGGATTCTTTTAAGGATAGGCTTATTATTTAGAGCTTGTTGAAAATGGTAATTCTGCAGTTCAGATATGTTTTTGCTCAGAATTTTTGTTCCTTGAACTCAAAAATAGTGTCAAGTCTTTGATACTTTGTACAGGGGGTTTTAAAATGTAATAACACATGAAATTGTACAGAAAAGCTTTCACTGAAGCTTAAAATTGCAATGAAAATTTTACATTCTGCATGACATCATTTGTGATATTTCTGTCCCACTGGTTCATTAGCGTTCTTCGCCAGTAAATCCAGACATCATTTCACATATCTTCACAACTTCCAAACTAAGTGGCCACAGAATAATTTTTTTTTCCTTACTGTTTTTCTGCCCCAAAACATCTTTTTTCCCTTATTTAATGATAAAATGAAACTCTAAGTAGAAAGGAAAAAAAAAAAAGAAATTCATTATTAAGAGGTGCAAAAATCCAGAAAATTCTTAAAAATCAGTATTCTCATCTTCTTTTTAGCCATACCACTTCACGCATTTACCTTCAAATATATCTCCCTTTATAGCAAGAAATGATATGTTCATATAAACAATAGAGAATTTTCTTACACTCTGGAATTTTCTTAAATGTTCAATGTACTGTATCCATAACATGTGTCACATTATATCATTGAGATAATACTTTTAAACTATATTGCTTTTCCCTAATTTAATCCTTCAGCTTCCCACATATCCATACATAACTTACTAACACACCCGTCATTGTGGCAGATGAATGTCTGCATTTACACTCTTAGTAATATTGATCTAACTTTTAAAACAAGGATCTTTATTCCAGAGTGCAGAACTACGACATTTTTGAAACTGTTCACTAAATTAAAATATTGTGCTGCACACGTTCAGAGCAAAACTGAGAGGGTTGATGGAGGATGAGTCAAAGGAAGACATGCCTTCATATTGCTCTCGCCCTCGAGTGCTGCTACAGGGGCAGCTTTTACTCGTGTGTGTATGTGGATTTACATGGAATTGCAATGGCCATTGGGGGCTGAAAATAAAACTAGCATCAAAATAGATGGGGTGAGATCCTATCATGTCACCAACCCCTCTCACTACTTAAAAAGGGGACAGGAAGGCATCGTGTGCTGGAACAGCCTACACATTTGTGGCAGAGTCACCCTGACTCTTGTGAAATATTCCTTCTGCTAACTTCAAGTTGGCAAGCTTCTCAAAACTTTTTTTCCTCTCAAACAGCCCCATATCTCTGGTACAGCCTGGATGTGCAGGAAGCTCTCTCAGACACGAGGAATGGCTCAGCTATTGGCAGCAAGCTTTTGAAAAGCTGCTGCCCCTCAGCAGATGAACTGAGATCCTGAGCAAAAGCTATGTGGACCGAAGATACTTCAGGTGAAGACCGGGTGAACCTTTTACTTTATTGCTTATATATCCCAAGCTTCTTTATGAAGCTCACATCTGTTAGTATTTCAAATTCAGCTAAATTTTTCATACTGACACTATGCAATGATCAGCATCTCCTTGTTCTCATAGCCTTGGTAAATGCCTGGCATGGATGAATCCTGAGCTGCGTTTTAGCTCATTGTAAATACAAAAGCATAACGAGTTCCGCATACTAGAAGATCCCAAAGCACCGTGGCCCAAATTATTTATGCAGCAAGCAGATGGTGATGACATTTACTTGCTGCTGAAAAAGCAGTGTAGGATCATTGCTGCCTACCAGTCCCTGCACCAGGCAATCCTCCCAGGTAGGACTGGCAGCTCTGGCAGCTGTGCAGCCTTCGCAGCATCTGCTTTAGCTGCCTAGCCCTTCCGGAGAGATAGAGCTCTTGCAGAAACACATCAGGAAGAGTTTTAAATAAATCCGTGGAATACTGATGAATTGAAAAAGCAGCACTCTGCATTTAATTGCCAGCCTCTACTCCTCCCACCACCCTGTGAAAAGGAGCATAAAAAATAAATAAAATGCAGTATTCGCTTGTTGATGTCAGAAGAGTAATTCAGTTAATACGGCTTCCCACTCAGTGCATAAGAACATGTGAATTGCTGAATTCAGGTCTCTCAGCCTGCTTTGTCTATTGTATCTCTTTAATCTATGTACAGCCTGCATTCTCCTTACTCAGCTCCACGGCCAGCACAGTGATGTTGTGCCAAGAAACGTCCTCCCGGTCAAGAGGTCTTGCAGTCATCAGTGCTCCTGATGTAATGTCGACGTAAAAGAACCGCCCCGGATCACTGCTCCTGTCAATCGAGTATCTGCAAGAGTACATATTAAAAATATTATGCAACCCTTGTGAAAACTGTGTGTTATAGCCAGCGAAGTACCCCAACAATGGGAATACTGTCATACACAGCAGATCCACATTCTTCCACAACCTAGTTATGTGCTCCATTAACTTGTATAGGTACAGAGTGTATAGGTACAGTGTATAGGTACAGAGTGTATAGGTACAGTGCTCGAAAAACTAGGAGTTCATGTGGCTAATGACATTTAACGGTGAATGCTACTTGGATGGAGCTGGAAGACAGGAAGATTTAGAGGAAGAAGCCTCAAAGCAAGGCACAGCTCAGCACAGGAACATCTGCTTTACAGAGAAAAATCTGTCAGTGAGGAGTGTGATTTCTTTTTCTAAGCAAAATAATTATGTCCTTTCCTTGGGCACAATTCAGACAGGATGAAAATGACTTTACATCAGCTCATTCTCTGGGCACTTAGGATGACGAGGAGGAACCATTCCTTTCCTTGTGCTTTTGTATTCTCTCCTTTTTCAGGGGAATAAAACTCCACATGCATCCTGGGCCATCCTACTGATTGAGCCATGTCAATGCAAGGGGGATGATGACTAGCTTTCTCATATCATCTAGCCAGAAAAACAGCTCCCTCTGTGAGGTTGATTCATCATAATTACTGAACCTGCCTGGCCAATATGTCAGTTTAATGCTGGGAACAAGCTTCTCACACCCGTGAGCAGCGGAGCGTGGTGGTACCTGCAGGCCAGAAAACTCGGGCAGGGAGGCAGCTGATTGACAGCTGTCACTGCTGTACTCGGTCAGAGGGACCGTTTTGCAGGGTGTGTGAAATACTCAATACCCTTCGTATGCATCACCTTGCTCTAACAGCAGTTTGCACGAGTTGCCTTCCCAGCTAGCTATTTTAGCGTGGTAAGAGATCCTTTGGCAAAAGCCACACATGTGCCTAGGTAAATGCCACAGCCTAGAACAGAGCCCAGACTTATTCTCATTTTTGTTGGTTCTTTTTTCAAAGTTGATGGGAATTGAAAGCATTAGTCATAATGGATGCTGAATGGGGCTCGTTCTTCTGAATTTTCTCCTTTCAGCACAAATGCATTCACTGGAACAAGCATGCCAGCCTGATCTTTATATAGGCACTTACTAAACTGGGATATAAAATACTATTGAGCTATGTTGTTGGGAAATTCTTTTACACTTTTTTTCAGCAAAATCAAAGAGGGTGGGGTGGCAGGTTTGCTTCCCTTTCCTTCCCAGTCCTTCCCATCTCTTCTTAAATAAAGAGATTTCTGAGGCATTTGATTTATTTAGAAAATAAATACGAGTGTTGCTATAATTTGCTATAATAATTATTCTTTTATGAGGGCTATAAAAAGAATTTCTGACAGTTTAAGGCCAACGAGTATCTGAAATTGAATATGGCCTTGTGATTAGTGGTGCGGTATTAATCACCGGTGTCAAGAGGCACAGGTGGAGTCTTTGTCTGGATTCTCCACATAAGTTCTCCTGTTAATAATACCTGCTCCTTCACACTCATTTCCACTGTACTCTCTAGATAATCTTCCTGAATTGCTTAACAACAATCATGGCATATTTCCAGCAATCAGAATTTCACAGTGGGGGAGTCCAGGTACCGGATGCTGGGAAAATGAGGATTTGAGAGTTCCCCTGTGTTTAGTGAGCCGTTCCGAAATGTGTCCTGGCTTTTCTATATTTGAAAAAATGGCAAAAGGAGGGGTCAGATCCCAGTTTTAATTTCAGTTGGATTTCATCTTGTGTAACAAAATATGCATCTGGGATTTTGTTTTTCTTATCTTGCCTTGCCCTGTGCAAAGTGCATTGCCAGACTGATACTGCACAGAGCTGGCATGGATGGAGGATACCACATAAGAGGCAAGGAGAACCAATCCTTAACATTTGCATTTCAGATAGTATTTCAAATGTTTTTTTTTTTTTTTCCTTTTTTCTCTACCCCAATCATTTACGTTTGTACGTACAAGGTGTTCGGGAGGAAGGAGGGAAGGAAGGAGGAAAGAAAGGAAAGTAGGAAGGGAGGAAGATGGGAAGAAAAAGAGGAAGAAAGTTGGGAAGGAACAGTTACAAAAGAGTCTGTGCATATTTGCAATTTTTTTTTTTTTTTTTTAATATATCTTTGGTGATGCATTCTGTGCTTTATAGAGTTCTGTTTCATCAAGGGTAGTCACTGGAAAGCTCTAAAGAAAACTAAGAAAAACCTCAATAAAAATAACAATGAACACTTCTACCCTCTGATAGTCCACAGAATTATTCTTATACTGTTTTAAGCAGATTAGCACAAAGCTGTTTGCACTGCAGTGTTTGGATAATGCTAAACAGTAATCAGCAAAATAGGATGCGAGTGGAAAAAAGTTTAGGGTAATGAAATTGTGATGCAGACAGTATAATACTTAGTTTTATTGAAGAATTTGAGACAATGTCATGAAAAGTATGATAACCTTATAATGTAGGTAGAAGAGATAGGTATATTAAGGTAGCAGAGATGAAAAAAATAATTAGAGCAGCAACACAGAAAGCAATATCATTAAGAGAACAGGCTTTGTGTCTGCTCAGATCTCCCAGCTGAAGCCCACAGAGCTGCTCATATAGATTTCACTTTCTTCAAAAACTCCAAATACTCAGTGTGTCGACTCCTTCCTGCATTTCTGAACGCAGACAATTCAGAAGCTGGACTGACACAAGGTTAGGCAAACAGCAGCCCAACACCTAAAGCATTTCTCAGATGAGAGAAGCAGCCGACCTGCTGGGATTATTAACTTGCAGTCACCCGGAGCTTCTGCAGGTTGTGAAAATTAGTATGTGGGCTGGCCTCGGGGAAAAAGTGTCTTCTCTGATAAACTGGGCTGACTTGGCAGCCCCTATGGAAGAGTGCTGTGATCACACAAATCTGCTCCTTTGGCTCCTTGCTGAGTTGCAGCTACGAAGCTCCCATGGCTGTAAATACATCTTTACCTTTCTTAGCTCCTTATGGGAATATCTAGCTCTGCAGCTTTGACCAGACACTGTATAATTTAGTGGTTCATGAATATTTATTAGTATGTATTCAATCTACTCCAAAAGTATTTGAGCTGTTGACAAAGGCAGGCTTTGAAACAGAAGGGGGAGAAAGGAGAAGCGAGTTGTTACTCTTACGATAAGCCATACCTTCCCCTCGATATGGCAGCAGATTCTCAGCGATGCTGTCAGGTTTTGTGCCAGCAAAGGCACGAGAGTCTGGGGTTTGTTTTTAATGTATGCTCTCAGGACATGCCTGACCAGTTCATTGCAATGCCAGATGCAGACATTCTCCATACCACAGAAAAGGAAAGGGTGAGCTCCTGCATTGCTTTGACAGTCGTAGCACAGCCCCTCAGTGTGTGAGAGTTTGACAACTACTACTGGCTAAAAAGAGAGAGTCCCTCCCACCAGTGCTTTTTCAGCCCCATCACCGCCCCACCAACTGGACCTACCGGGGAGCGCTCCTGGGGGAACACGCAAAGACAGGACAGACCTGATGGAGTTGTTGGTCACATCCGGGTCCTTGGCAGAAATGATCTGTATGGTGGTTCCAATCTCCACATCCTCGGGCACTTCCACAAAGTAGAAGCTGGGCTCGAACACAGGAGGTTCATCCACATCCTCCACGCTGATGTGGACGGTGGTGGTGTCTCGGAAGGGACCCAGATTCAGGAACCGCATTTCCAAGTGGGGGTTGGCACCCTCTACTTTCAAGGTGTAGCTTTTCTTGCTCTCAAAACTTAAAGGCTGAGGAGAAAAAGTATATCTAGCATTAGGCACACTGAGCCATATGATCTAGCCCATAGAATTCTAATTTGCAGCAGTAAAAGATGCCCTCTAATATAAACTGATGCTTCTTTTTTTAAAAGAAATCTTTACTGTGATTTTTAATCATAAGAGTAACAAAGATAAATATTTGCAGATGGAGACAAAGCATCAAGTGACAGTATTATTAGGAATGACACTGTCTACATGTTTTTTTTTTATTTGACAGTTGAACTGAAAAAGCTAGGACAGATATTTGCAGATCATTTCTGAATACATATTCTTTCATTCTTCTTGCTGCAATGAAAATAAAAGCGGCTGCATCACCATTGTGTTGTGATTCACACAGTGTGTTTCATTCCACTGAAAAAAGGCAGAAAACAGACAGTGTGGGAGCACCTGAAAATAAGGTAAAGATACGAAGAGTCAGTTCCTCAAAAATGGGTCCTGGTGGCAGTGAAGAGGATGCTCACACATGAGGTGGAGGTCCCAGCTAGGATCTGTGGTGTATGATTGCACAGACCCTCACATATACATGCACAGAATCCTTTATTGTTACAATACTGGAGAAAATATCCTTTACCATATCAGGGCAGTCCCTCTGTCTGTCTCCCTTATATATTAAGAAAGAACAGTCTCTCTTCCTTCCAGCAACGATCCACATGACTGCTCACAATTCCCTTCAGCTGTTTCAGCTCTTGAATCAGCTGGTGCTCATTAGGCCACCTCTTCTACTTTATTCAATTCTTCTTTAGTTTCCACAACTGCCACCTCAGGGTGACTGCAAGCAGCATCCCTAGCTGAGAGCTTTTCCATTTTGATGTTTACAGTTTCCTTACAGAGGAGACAACTAAGCCAGGTGTTCAGGTCTTATCTCTGTGCGTCTGCTAGTTCTCAGCGCACAGGCCGAAGTCCTATCTTATCTTGGCCGAAACTCCCGACTCCACAATTCTTCTCCACACTTCTCCACAAGGATCCTCTTTTCTCCCTGGTGAGATCAGACTCTTGTCTCCAGAGCGCTTGTCTGCCAAGCTGCTAAAGGGCTCCAGTGGGAGCAGGGGACACGGCCAGCCTCTCTTGTGGGATCCTGCTCCAGTCTGTATCAGTAATCCATCCTTTCTAGAAGTGGGGTTTTTCACCTCCTCAGTAAGCGTCCTAAACATAGGTTCACAGGCCAAGTGTGCTGAGTGCTGGGATTTGAATCTCCTCCCTGCCTAGAGAATAGTTTAATTTCGAAGCACTATGAGCTACCCTGACCTCTTCCTGCGGGACCCCTTCCACTTTGTATTAAATACTCAAGTATTATTTGAAACAGGAGTGGCAATGTCTCTTTTTTTTCCTTTTCTTTCCTGGGATAATGAATAAAGGGCAGGCAGCTTCTTCTGTTAGTCATTTCATGAATTTGATTTCCTTTCTAGGTAAAACTACTTATTTGGTGAACATGGCTGTAGAAATAATTTATGCTGGTGCTAAGCTTTTCAATAAATAATTTTTTCATCTCCCTTCCCCCTTCTTTTCACAGATCTGAAGAAAATAGGGCCTTTCCAAAACCTCCTTAGACCTAAATGGAGAATTCCATATTTAATGTGCCATTTACCAGTCTCGATAAGAGATGACTAAAAGCATCCGACAATGACAGCATGGAAGGATCATTCCAAAACATACAAAAAAATTTTACCAGATGAAGTACACCTTACAGAGGACACAGTCATACTTCCCAAGATGCAGTTAGAAGTTACAAGCAATCCCGCCGTGGTTAAATGGTCACAACCCTTGTAACATGTGGGGAATTTTAATGCTGAAAACCAGCACAACTGGATCCCTTTAGCTGGCACAGATCCTGAGCAAGACAAACCAGGAAAGAAATGTCCCTCAATTCTCAGGGTCGCCCAGTGGGACATACCCCTTTTTGTTACATGAATGGCTTTCAAAACGCGTGGCTTTATTCGTGCATAGGGATTTGAGCATCATGTGTGGAACTACCACGCACAGCCTCAGTTCATTCAGACTCCAGTAAGATCACTGCTGTTCCCACCCAATAGCTTTGTTTTTCCTATTCAGCTCTTTCTTTTTGAAGACCTACCACCAGACTGGGGCATGGACATGGGTGGGAACACAGAGGAGCAGGATGCCAAAGCAACCGGAAGACCAAGGTAGAAAGATCATTACTGTAGCAGTGAAGTCCTCCTTGGCCAGTCATAACCCAACGCTTTTCTGCCCTGCTCAATAGTGCAGCTGGGAAATTCTGCAGCCATGAGATGTGTATTAGTTTAAGCAAGATCAGCAGAAGTTTCACATGCTCAGGCATGGCAGGTGTATATATTATAGGCCCCAAAACACACCCGGAATTCAGTGGGGGCTTCAGTACTTGCCTGCTGCCACAACAGCTTCTGTCTTCAGAAGTGGGAACGTTGCAGTGACATACAAAAGCTCACGCTTTCATAGCAAAATTACCAGTATGGAGGTCTTGCATAGGAATGCCTGATGAAAGACTGGAGTTCTTGAAATTATAAAAACGAGAGCTCGCTCAGCATTTAGTACATGGGGGTTAAGGAATGAAGACTGGAATGGGAACTGTTTTTTTTGTGCTGGGGGAGATGATGGCCCAGTATTACCGGAGATGCTGTCCAGCGATACAGTAAGAACTGTGCAACCTGTAGCAGCAGGTACAGACGATCTGAAACTTGCTCCTGCTGTCCTTAGTTCCACCTGGTAAATCAGTGACTACTGCAGGCATAGCACTTGTCAGCAAGGATTTACCTAGGTCTACAAACATATTACCCATTACTGCAGAGTCATTAAGTTGCATATTTATGCATTGTAAAAATAGCGATAAAATACATTCACATGACCAAGCAACACTTATTGTCCATCTGGCAAGGAATGTGCAATGCAGAGCTGCCTAGAAATATACTAAGAAAGAGGCCATTACATTTCATGGTTTCTCATGTGAAGAAAACTGCATGAGTAACATTGCATGTACACTAAAAACCTAAGTTATAAAAAGAGCAGTTAAATCACGGAAACACTTAATAGCTATAAAACCCAACTACATTAGGAAAAGACATAATCACCTAGAATGATCAAGTTAGAAAAATGAGAAAAATTAAACGATTGTGCTAGGCCATCACATTTTTGATGCTCCCGCATGCAGACCCCCTTAGTTTGCTTTGGACTCCTTCATCGTGAGCCGTGGCTTTCCCTCCTGATCTTCTCACGTGCCAATGCCTCAACACGCTGCCCCCCTCATCAGCTTTGTCTTTTCTGGGTGCCTTCAAACCTCTTTCCAACCCTGGTCCCATGGGGAGGGCAAGCAGGCTGCCTTCTCCCACGAACCGAGCCTGCTGCAA